ATGAAGGTGAGAATCTTAAGAGATTAAAAAAATTGTTAAAAGAACAGAGGACCATTGTTTAGAAGTCAAGTTAGTACCCACTCTTTACTTTCCACTGTTTTAGGATAAGAGAAAAACATGAGGTTTGTGGTGTCCACTATGAAATAGAACCAGACAATCTGAAACAAATTTCTCAGGTTCCGACAGTCTATACTATGAGATATTAAAAGTTTGTTTGACTTGGAGATGGCTTACCTCCCTATAACTTCAAGTTTGTTTTGCAAAGCTTTGACAAGTAAAAGTTTCATTTTCAGATATAATAAAAAATTTGAATAGCAAAATAACTGCTTTTAAATGTAATGTGTCCATTCTAAATCTAAGAAAACTTTTCAAATGCTTTTCATTAAATTCTCCAGTAGTAGTTGAAAGAAATCTACTTTTATGGAAGATCTATTTATACCACTCATTCCTTTTTCCGATTCCACATTTCACTTTGCAACCTGCACACCTCCCTTCGGTGTCCCAGAAGGGGAGCCCAAGCTCCCTATTTTTTGAGAAGTTGCTCAGGGTGGGACACACAAAAATATGGCTCCTCTGGCAAGTACTGCTGTCACTGTTTGACTACGTTTTAACAGTTACTCCAATTCGCACAGTAAATCTCCCACAAGGATGGTAGGAGGAATGAACCTGGTTAACTAGCTTTGGATGATCAAACTCTAGAATAAAAGGTGATCAATTCTAGGATAAAAATTAGGAGTTCTTTCACAGCTATAAATCTTCCCAAGCCCTCTCTCCTATCACCGTAAACCAGGGGAAAGTAAGCAGGAGCAGGGGTAAGTGCAGCCAACAGGAAGACTGCAAAATGCTTATCAGAAAGACTTCCTGCAATGCCAGGACCTGGGCACCTCTGTCACTATTTTCCAGGAAAGAGCCCATCTTGGTGTTTTTCTGGCAACACCAAATCTAAGCATAACCATTTAAGTTAGTGGGGAAGCAAGGCTAAAAAGTCAACTGGCCTTTCTAATCCTTTCCCTACTCTTAATTCATGGAGATGATCCTCTTACTATCCGACAAGCTCAGAAAACCATTCTCTTTGCTTAAAATGGTGACGTGGCAGTTAAGAGGTCAACTTCCTGGCTTTGAAAACTCTCAGGAAGGAAGCTGCATGTTTATAGGAATTATTCCTTTTTAGTGCCCCATTAACCTCTCTCTCTTTTTTATGTTTTTTTATTGATTTCAGAGAGGAATGGAGAGGGAGATAAACATTGATGAGAAATCTATCAATCAGTTGTCTCCTGGATGCACCCTACTGGGGATTGAGTTCACAATCTGGGCATGTACCCTGACCAGGAATTGAACCAGTGACCTCTTGGTGCATGGGATGACACTCAACCAACTGAACCACACCAGCCGGGCTAACCTGTCTCTCTAACTTCCTCTTCTGATTTGATAAATCACCAAACTAAGAAGATTTTTTCCTCATATTCCCCCTCCTCAGTTCTGTGAATTGATTTTTTTTGTCTGTAATCACATCAATTTCTTTACTACTCGCTCTAAAACTCTGTTTTTGAAGCGATGTGTGCTGTCAAATAGATTAAATAAAATACATCATTTGCCTACAGAGAATATACAGAATAGCAACAGAGGTTGAAGGTACAAAACACAGACACTGACATTAAGGTCACATAAAATATATAGGAATACCCAACATTGACAATTTTTGTAAGAAGTTGTACATTTTGCTATTTCCCCACATTTTTTTCTTCTGTGGATCCTCTAGAGTTAAGATTGAGTGTTCTCTGCAGTGTTTCTGAAATTCATTACAACTGGAACACACTGATGGAATTCATTTTCTGTCCAAAGCAACGAGTGCTATACATGAAAGATTTCCTCTTATATAATATGAATAAAGTTTATTTACAGTGTAAGCTTTTCTGATGCTAAGGGCTGAAATGTGATTATAGGCTTTGCCATATTATCACATTCAAAAGGTGTCCTTCTGGAATGAATTCTCTGATGTACGTAAGATGAATTGTCTCACATAACAAACATATTAACCTCTCTGTACATATTTACCGTAGTTTCACTTTTAAGCCTTTAATAAAATACTAAGTGCATTCAACAAGATGCCTCACACATCTCTGTTCTCAGGCTTTTGCCTTGCCTGCCAGGCCAGAGTAGAAACAAATACCCCACGACTTGAAGAAATTTACTTCTATTCCTGGCCAAGTTATTGTTTTAAGAAGCCCTTCAAAAGCTTCCATTAGGTCAACGTACATGCTACTGATCAAACTATTAACAGGCTTCACCCAGTCAAGAACTTTGAATGACTATCCTGAACACTTACTAGATGCTGTAAGCCTTTTTGACCATAAGCCAATTATAATTTGCTTTCAGCAGCTGATAAATGCAATGCAAATGGTTTTAATCAATAGCTGTAGCCTGTTTTCTTTAGGAAACATCTTCAAGTAGCTGCTTCAAGGAGTGCATCTGCTGAAGATCTGAAGCAACCACAGTAGCTAGCCCACATGGTACAATGTCCCAGAAAAATGGGAATTAAGTGTGGGGGCACAGGTTATTTTAACTTTCATTAAAAAAAAAAAAAAAAGAAAGAAAAAGGATGGCTGAGCTATGTCAGCATGTAGTTCTGGCTAAAAAAAGCCAATGAAGAACCAACCGAAGTTCTTTTTTTCTTAAGAGTAGTCAGTGCTTTGATCAGTATCTGAGGTAAGCAGCTCACTGCTTTCAGTTGCTTCCCAGCAGCAAGTCTTTGCTCAAAAGCACCAGCGGTTTTCTATGCAGCTATCACTGTAGTTCATTGTGAAAAAAATCCTAGAAGCATTTCTTCTACTTTCACTTTACTATAAAACGTTCCTTAGGTATATGTTTCTGGAGTATCTTTTCTATTTTTCTTAAATTGAATGGATGGAAACATTCTGGTCACCTGCTGACTTCTTTGAAGTTTCCCAGGCAACACTGATGAAACTGCTTAGTAACTATAGAGAAACTGTGGTTGGTCCAAGTTATAGAGAGGTGGAAGAATTACTGCTACGCAGATTTTAATTTGGTCTGGAGCTGAGGCCATAGCTGTCCCCACCTCATTGGCTCCCCATAAAGCCATGCTGCCTCATGGACTCAGTTGTTGATTAGCAAGATGATGAGTCTTAAGTTTTGTTTCTTGATGGAAAATCTCAGTCTCTATTGGGGGTCTCCTGTCATGAGAATAGTCTTCAGGTGTGTTCTTATTCTGTGTTATAAGTTTCTGCAGAGCTGTCTACAATCGTTTGCATGCTCTCATGAGCAGTCATCTCTACCCGAGTCCCTGATGACTACCTATGTAGCCCCCGATACTTGGGTTTCTTGTATGTGTATCTGAAAAGTCTCTGGCACTGGCTTCCAGGCAGCCAATTGCATCTTCTTGCCCAGTTGATAGAAAAGATCTAAATTTTATAACCCACCTCAGTCTTTAGTGATGAGAAAGAGAAAAGACACTGTGTAGTACAACTCTGATACAACCAACCAAATCTTAGCAAGTTGGGTGAACTTCTCAGAGCAACTAACACATTCAGTAATGGCCAGCTAATGATATCAAGTGCTTTTGTGAAGTTTCTGAAAAGGATGGCAGAAAATGCTTCCTACATCTTCCTTTTTCTGAAAAGCAACAAGAAATATGTAGTCTGAACAATTAAAGTTACAAATTATTCAGAAAGTGCCCAAATCATCAGATTGTTCACCAGCTGACTAAACAAAATTCTGGTGAAGATCTTTGTCATAAAAAGATATCAAAAACATGGCCTTAGTAAGTTTTTGTCTTTTTCTTAAGATGAGATAGTGGAGTCATTTCTGACATTCTATGGTATTTACTCACTGATCCATGTTCAGAAAGTCTCTGCAGGTGGCTATATGGTGCCTTTCTTTAGTTTAGGACAAAAATAGCGCAAGACCCTGGAGCTTTAGCATGCCTCAGGCCCTGCATGTCCTCTTCAAAAGCTGAGCCAGGCTACTGTATTTCAGGTACTCAGGATTCACAGGGCTTCCTCTTAAGTGCAAAAGTCTTGTTAGAAGTCAGGCATAGTGAGTGCTTTTTCCGTGTTCAGGACTGTGCCCAGTGCTGTAAGGATATAAATATGTCCCTTGTCAAAGCATCTTTTTTTTTTTTTTTTTTTTGGGGGGGTGGTGATTAAAAATTTCATACATGAAACAATGAAGGATTACAAGACAGTATATAATCAAGTGCTAACTTGTGGAGAAATGCATTTCAGAGTGTGATTAGTGCTTTAGGGATTTCTTCCAGAGGGAGAGAAGTATTTTCAATCATGGTTGCCATTTCAGTAGAATTTATCTCAGTGATGAGGATAAAACCATCTACATTTGTGGCAGTTCTTTGGAACTGGAAACTGGTGCACATACCCTCTCTTTCAGGAAGAGATAGAAATCTTTGGTTTGATACTGATCAGCACAGTCCTAGATTTCTATAGCTTTGGTAGGCTACCAGTGTTCACATATATCTTATATATATAACTAGTTCAAGCAGCATGTCCCAATGTAGTTTTTGTTCTAACTATCCCTCTCTTTTTGAGAAATAAGGTACAGCATGATGTTGGCCAACCAGAGCTTGTTTGCAGCAAGCAGCTTTTAGCCTACGTGTCATTTTCAGAGAGCCGATTTTAATCTTTCAATTCTGTGTATTAGTTGCTGAGAGTCCAATAGCGCCTTACAGGTATCCTCATTGCTGAAAGGCATAGCGTTTTGCTGTGTGTGCTTGTATCTCATAAGGAAATATCATGTGGCTTATTCGTATGACTAGCTTTTCCCTACAGGAGCTGTATGGAAGAATTATATGCCCACAGACTATGCAAAGGTAGAACACTGCTAATCTAACTATAAGGATCCTTTAAAACTGTGTGTGTGTGTGTGTGTGTGTAAGTCTTTTGAGGATGTTTATTCCCTTCCATGAACACACATCTCTGAAATAAATTTAGAAACAAAAGGGGGAAATGGCTTGTCAGCAAATTCTCACTTTACACACAGCTTTTCAGGAATGCTCCAAACGCATCAAGAGAAGCCTGGCTGTACTCCGAGTTTCGCTCTCTGGTATGGATTCTGTGATGCAGGGTGAGGGTTGAGCTCCGGGTGAAGGCCTTGCCACACTTAGTGCACTTATAGGGCTTTTCTCGGGTGTGAATTCGCCGGTGCAAAATAAGGTATGAGTTTCGGTTGAAAGCTTTTCCACATTCGCTACATTCATAGGGTTTCTCCCCTGTGTGGATTCTCTGATGTTTTGTAAGGTCTGAGCTCTGGCTGAAGGCCTTCCCACACTCGTTACATTCATAAGGTTTCTCTCCAGAGTGAATTCGCTGATGCAGAATGAGATTTGAACTATGACTGAAGGCTTTGCCACACTCATTACATTCATGAGGTTTCTCGCCCGTGTGGATTCTCTGATGCAGGACAAGGTTTGAGTTCAGACTGAAGGCTTTCCCACACTCACTGCATTCATAGGGCTTTTCTCCAGTGTGGATGATCTTATGGCGAATAAGGCTTGAACTCCTTGTGAAGCATTTACCACATTCATCACATCTATGAGACTTTGCTCCTGTCGGAACTTCTTCAGTGGTGTTAAAGTTTGAACTCAGACTGAAGCTTCTTCCCAATCCTTTACCCTTCTCCCTGGGTCCTCTCTCTCCTGTGGTTGTTTTTTTGTCCTTAGCTGTAGCTGGCCCTGAATCTTTCTTTTCTTTTCCAGCTTTCTCCTCAGGAGTCTTCTGCTGCCTTTCTGCTGTTTTGCCCTGCTGTTCACGTTTTTCTCCAAAATCTTTCTGGATTCTTCCTCTTGTCTCCCCACGTGATGCTGAGTCTTTTGTGATTTCAGCCTTGGAGGTCGACTCCTCATTCTCATTCCTGCTTTCACAACCTGACACAATAAATAGAAAATACAAATAACACCTTTTTCTTTTTAATCTATAGGTTAATCAAATGACAGTTTTCCAGGAAGCTCCTACATACCTGCAAAATGGCCCCACAATATTAATCAAAGATAAAATAGAAGAAAAAATATAGGAAACAGGGAGCAGAATTGGAAAACAAAAGGGCAGGAAGAGTGGAAAGGACACCAGAGGGAGTGTATAGAGAGGATGGGAGAGAACAGATCTACTGGGGAATGAACAGAGGGACAGAACCAGTGAAGGAAGGAAGGGATGAAGAATATAGAACATAAGCCGAAACCGGTATGGCTTGGTGGATAGAGCATCAGCCTGAGGACTGAAAGGTCCCAGATTCAATTCTGGTCAAGGGCATGTACATTGGATGCGGGCACATCTCTGGTAGGGGGTGTGCAAGAGGCAGCTGATTGATGATTCTCTCTCATCGATGTTTCTAACTCTCTTTCCCTCTCTCTTCCTCTCTGTAAAAAAATCAATAAAATATATTATATGTATATATATATAAAAAAGAATATAGAACATAAGACATTAATAATTCATAGTTCTATGATTTGGTCACCTAATAATTAATTTGAAGAAACAAATATACATGAAAAAAAATCACATTCTGTTTTCTAATATAACAATTTATGAGCTTAAAAAGAGCATGGTCAGGTCTTTCCTAGAAAATAAGTGGTATTAGCAGAAATAAAGGAATATCATTAATAAAGGAAAGAACCCCGACCGGTTTGGCTCAATGGATAGAGCATTGGCCTGTGGACTGAAGGGTCCTAGGTTCGATTCCGGTCAAGGGCATGTACCTTAGTTGTGGGTACATCCCCAGTACAGGGTGTGCAGGAGGAAGCTGATGGATGTTTCTCTCTTGTTCATATTTCTAACTCTCTATCCCTCTCCCTTCTTCTCTGTAAAAATCAATAAAATATATTAAAAATATATATAAAGGAAAGTGAAAACATCTCCATTCTGTGAAATTTTTATCAACAAGGAGATGGTTAATGGCAAAACAAGGAACTCTGAATTTGGCAGGTTACAAGGACCTTCAGACACAGCAAAGTTTCTCTCCTTCAGCGAGAACAGCATAAGCTGACAGAAATGAAGGTGAAGAAGTTGGTCAGGGCACTGGTAAACATAATTAAAACCTTCACTGAAAGAGAATAGAAAAGAAAATGAAAATAATTCTAGAGATACCCATGAAGGAAACGCCAGAGACAATAAAATTTTATTAACGCAGAGCTGATCCTCTCAATTTAGCAATCATCACATTAAGACACTGGAATATTTTTATTGTAGACTGCTATATTCACTTTAAGTAGAGATTAAAAATTGCTCAATAAAGATATATATGTTATATATTTCCCAACTCTATTTTTTATTTGGCCTTAAGAAACTTGTCCAAGAAGATCTGTACTATCCCAGACAGGCCCTTGAATGCAACTCCTGAGAGAGATGAATAATATTTAACCCTTGACTTTAGTGAAGAAATTGCCATAAATACTAAACTGATCATGAAAATGAAGAAATTGACTACTTCTTTTGAATTCCAAGCCAAGGTCCTTGACTATCTGAATTGAACCCATTAAAAAAAAAAAATAGGTAATACCCATCTTATAAACATGGACCAGAGTTCTTTGCCTTAATTTTCATCTAATCCAAAGAATAAGTACCAAGAAACCATAAGCCATTTCCCCCGATGGTTCAAAGCAGAAGTCTAGGTTTCCTAGTGATATCCTTTCTTTATGAAGTTTCCCTTCGCTTGCCCTCCCCGCCTTGGGAAAAGCTTCCCGGTGATCTCCTAGGACAGGACTGATTTGAGAGCCCCTCTGCGGTGCTGTTTCTCAGGGGCGGACAGCCAGCAGAGACAAACGGGAATGCATGTCCACTGTGCCGCTTTGTCTTATACGATTGATGCTTTAGAACTTCTTTGTCTTTACTATTCACTAGGAGTGGAGAACGTCCAACCCATGGGCCATCAAAGGCCTGGAAAATCCTTTGGTCTGGCCCTGCCAAGGCATTAGGAGTGAGTTAATGAAATGCTTGACCAAATATAGCAAGCTAATTTTTAAGTTGATAATTTTGTATGGCCTGCAAATGATGTTATAAACATCCAAATTGCCCTTGGCAGAAAAAACAGTTCCCCACCCCTGCTATATACCTAGCGACCAGAGCTCTTCATATATTAGTATTAGGTTTGGAAATTGGGAACTGTGATCAAAAGGGAGATATAAATGTGTTCACAGAATTATGCAAAGCTGTCACAGAGCATGGTTCACAGGATGAAGAAGACAGAAAGCCCACAGAAGGATGCTTGCTTGGTAGGTTTAGGAACATGGTCTCAAGTTAGGATTAGAACCACTGATCAATTCTCACTTGGCCCTCCACACTAGGAAATACAGATGCTCCCCCAACAGAGGCACCTAAGTTGTAACCCACAGGGGAGTGGAGCAAAACCCTCCTCGGTAACAAAGCAGTGGAAGAAGTGAGGACCCAGAACACAAGAATATTTCTGATTTCTAACAGCAAAAACAACATAGAGGTAAAACAAACGAACAAACAAATAAATAAAATCTACAGGGAGTCAGTCACAGTACCAGGCTTTGGAGTTAAAGGAACACAAATGTTCCTATTCTCTACCTGGTCTGAAGAAATGGGCTCAGTAGGCTCTAAATCCTTGTTAACACTCAACTGAACGTGTCAGAGACCCCACAACTAACAAAGAGAGGCAAAACAATCTTATCAGACAATAATCCTGATCATTCTTACCCTGGGAAAACACGTTCCCATAATGCTCCTGCCTGTGGTCCCTACTGAGATTCCTCCGAGCCAGGTTCTGGCATCCCCACTCCTCCAGGATGAGGGACACAGCCATGTCCTCGATCTTCACCATTGCCTGCAATATGAGATCCCCACACTCAGTTCCCCCAAAGCTCAGGGGTAATCCCACTACCCAAACCTGGAGATAGGGACAGAGTTGACCAGAAACCTACAGGGCACTGGGAAAGAAAAGGTGGCCATCCCAGGCTCTGGTGGATTGAGGGGTGAGTGGGTCTACTCTGTGGGCAGGACATCAAGAATTGAGTGTCCTGAGTGGAGATGTTATAAGATCTCCAGGAAGAGAGGCAGATATGAGGGTCTCAGAGGAGGGCAGAGGGGCCCCTGGCTCACCTGGGAGTCTGCCGTGAATAGTGCAGAAGCCATTGTTTGGTCTCTGGGACTCCCCTCGTGATGAGGGGCAGGAACGTGGGTGGCAGGGAGAGCTGAGGGAGGAAAAAGGAGCTATGAGTAAAACCAGCTCTGCTCTGGGCCCAGGGCTCTCTTTTTCCTGCACCAGCATGTTCAATCAATGTTCAACTACCGAACAGAGAATTAAAAAAGAAAAAGCATGACTTCTGTTTTCTCAAGACTTCTATTCTTTTTAAAAAATATATATATTTTATTGATTTTTTTTACAGAGAGGAAGAGAGGGAGAGTTAGAAACATCGACAAGAGAGAATCATTGATCAGCTGTCTCTTGCACACCCCCTGCAGGGATGTGCCCACAACCAGGGTACATGCCCTTGACCGGAATTGAACCGGGGACCTTTCAGTCCTCAGGCTGATGCTCTATCCACTGAGCCAAACCGGTTTTCACAAAGACTTCTATTCTCAAGCAGGATAGGGAGTAAATGTAAAAGGATCCTTAAAATAACCTGATCCAACCCTATGTTTTAAAGAAAGGGAAATTGAGGCCTTGAGAGGTCAAATAAATTGTCTAAAGTCACACAATTAAGAATATCAGAGCCAGATCTAGAATCAGGTTCCTACTCTCAGCTACGGAACTGAATAACACTTAGCCCACAATTCAAGCCTACCTCAAAATTTCATTTTCTCCACTAGCCAGCATAGCTCAGTGGTTGAGTTTCAACTTATGAACCTGGAGGTCACGATTCGATTTCCGGTCAGGGCACATGTCTGAGTTTCGGGCTTGGTCCCCAGTGTGGGTGTGTAGGAGGCAACTGATCAACAATTCTCTCTCATCATTGATGTTTCTTTTTTTAAAATATATTTTTATTAATTTCAGAGAGGAAGGGAAAGGGGGAGAGAGATAGAAACATCAATGATGAAACAGAATCATTGATTGGCTGCCTCCTGCACATCCCACACTGGAGATGGAGCCTGCAACCCAGGCAACTGCAATATTAAAATCCTCCTTTGCCAAGTAATATTAGAGAAATGAATTTCAAACGTTTTCAGGCAGTACAATAATAAAATGAGCTAAATCAAAATGTATAACAGATTGAATAACCAGCACTGTAGCCTTCCAGGCGCTCCTCTGGAAGATGAGAAGCCAAAGAGGAAATTGAGAATAAATGCACATGCCTCCATTTGTTAAAGAACTATTTACTAAGTAACAACTGTATGTACCAGGGTCTCTAACACTGTTACTCTGGTAGCCTGAAGTTCTGATTGGGTACTTAAAATCATGAAAACCCCCTTCAATTTCCTGATTTCACCCCTTGTATAGTGTGGAGACTTTATATACCCTAGAAGGTCATAGGTGGACAGTGGTGGGTTAAACATCATAGTGTATTGGTTTATACGGATTTCTCCAGCATATGAATGCTGGATACCCTCCAGAATGCATAGAAAAGACTTACTTAAGCTCTAATAATAAAAATAATTTTTATTTATATGACCCTGAAATGATGCTTTTCCTCATGTTCCTCCACTAAAAATAACTTTTTTTCATCTTTTCCTATTGTTTGAAAATTCTGAAAGTAACCTAGAAAGAGTAATGTATACAATATTTTATACACTTTCAAATAAGATGAATTTTTAAATTGATTCTGTATAAAGTAATTTATAATATACTACAGTGTTTCAAAATCAGGCTGAAAGCATATCATCTCTTCCCAGCACTTTCTGGTAAAAAATAAAATAAAAATCTGTTAGATTTCAGAATGCTAATAATTCAAGAAACAATATCTACCCAAGTTCATTATGCACATTTCAATCTACTTCCCTAGTAACATTACTTAACTCTTAGAATTGGTCTAAAAATTGTACTTCCCCTAATATTTAGTAATGACAATAATCTACACTAATAAAAGAGAAACATGCAAATTAACCACCACTCCACCACACCCACAAGCTATGCCCATCAGCCAATCAGGAGTAAATATGCAAATCAACACAACCAAGATGGCGGCTGGCCACAGAGCTGGAGCAAGCAGGAGGTTTAGGTTGCCCACCATAATGGAGGAAGCCAAGCTTTAAACCTGCCCTGGCCTCTGCGCAAGGCTACAAAGTTTCAATTATAGAAGATAAATAAATCTTAGATACTTGCTTCCAGCTGGTCCTGGCCTCCACTCAAGGAGGCACTGGAAAAAAAAAAAAAAAAAAAAAAAAAAAAAGAAAGAAAGAAAAGAAATAAAAAAAGGAGGGGCTGGGACCTTGGGTTGCTGGGGGTGGGGGAGTAGGGTGATCAGGCCAGGATGGGACAGCAGGGGCCATTGGGGGTAAGCAGACCAGCAGGGGGGCCATTTGGGAGTGAGCAGGCCATCAGCGGGGGTCAGTTGGAGGTGATCAGGACGGTGGGGGGACAGTTTGGAGCGAGCAGGTAAGCAGTGGGGGCAGTTGGGGGTGAGCAGGCCAGTGGGGTGGGAAGGTGGGGCAAGCAGGCCAGCGGGGATGGGGAGGTGGAGAATTGGGGGTGAGCAGGCCAGCAGCGGGGGGTGTTTGTGGGGGGCAGGCAGAGAGGTTAGGGGCAATGAGGGCAGGCAGGTGAGCAGCTGGAGCCAGCAGTCCCAGATTGGAGAGAGTGTAGACCAGGCTGAGGAACACCCCTTGCCCCATGCACGAATTTCGTGCACCCGGCCACTGGTGTATAATAATAAAAATAAACATGCTTCTTTATTACAGGCACTTAGAAACACAGAGGGGGCACACCCATCTGAATAGTTTGCTTCTTTTCCCCATAAGAAGCCTTGTTTCTTACCCCGTGACTGTAAGAGGCGGGGTTTCCGAGATGAATGCTTGAAATGGGACTGGGTGGCCTCATGATGAAGGTCAAAGCTTGAGGACTCCTGAATAGGATCCAGAGGCACCATCCCCCTTGCGAGCATCTCAGGTCCATGCACTTGACCTGGGACCTGAGAACAAACAGATTAGACTTGAGGGTAAATCATTTTTTAATGAGTATTTTAAATGAGCAAAAAGAATATAAGTATACTAGGAAGAAAGGGAGAAAAGGCCAGGATACTTTTTAATATTCAAGCAAAAAAGGGAGAATAACCACTACAGACTACTAAACTAGCTTATTTAGTAGCTTGTATATTAGTTTATTTTATATACATAACATTATATATATATAGAGCTATTATAATATATATATATAGCTATTATATAAGTAGTGTCTTATATATTAATACTAGTCTAATACTAAGACTACTAATTTTAGCTTTAAATCAGTAACTTTCTCTTTGCTCCAGTCTAAAGTCCATGTGTTGCTCACACGTAAGTTTCACCTCTTCTCACCTGCTGTCCTGATAAATCAAGCTCCAAATCTTCCAGAAGGGTCACAGCCTCCTCCCCACTATCGGGACGGTATTCCTGCAGCCAGGCTTGAAGCTGCTTGGGCAGGATGGAAAGGAACTGCTCCAGCACCAGCAGCTCCAGAATCTGCTCCTTGGTGTTTATCTCTGGTCGCAGCCACTGATGACAAAGTTCCTTCAGTCGACTCAGAGCCTCTCGAGGCCCAAAAGTGTTCTGATAACAGAAGTGCCGGAAGCGCTGGCGGAAGATCTCTGGGTCAGGAGGAGGAGTCTCCTGCAGGCTGGAGTCCCGCCCCCACATATGTTCTTCCTCATCTTCCTCTTCTACCTTCACTATTACGATACCATCCTTCTCTTGGGCAGCCTGGGGGGACAGACCAGGAGCTTCCCTTGATTCAGCAGTCATCATTCAGGCTCAGAGAACTGACTTGATCCAAATAAAGTCTGTCCTCTTCTTTTTGTCCTTGAAAATGTTCTCTGATATCTGTTTCCGTATAATTCCTGAAGTATTAAAAAAAGTGATTAGCATCTTTATGAAAAGTGACCTGTGCTACCAACACTTATTCAAGGCAAGAATGCCTCTGAATAGTAAAAGGGGGAGGGGGAGAAAGCCTCCAGAGCCACTCTGTTTTGACCACCAGCTTATACATTAAGATTTGCCTCCAATGGGCAAATTCCACCCTCCGGGTGTTTGCCTGAGACTAAGCACATTATCTCCAAGAGAACAGCAGGTTATGACATCATGCCTTTACAGTGGTTAACCCAGTGAGAGCTGAATGTCAGCAGGGTGCAGGCAAGACTTCAAGCAGTACACACATAATCTTTTTTCATTTTTGTTGATTTCAGAGAGGGAGAGAGAGAAACATCAAGGATGAGAGAGAATTATTGATTGGCTGCCTCCTGCACGTCCCGAAACCCAGGCATGCACCCTGACCAGGAATCGAACCGTGACCTCCTGGTTCTGATGCTCAACCACTGAGCCACATGGGCTGGGCCACACATAATCTTATATGATCCCACAGCAATCCTGCCAGGTAGGCACAGCTGCTAGCACCATTTCATAGGTGACATGGCCCAGATTTAGATGATTATTTGCTCAGCAGTAGCTACCTACCTAGTGGAGTCAATAGTCACACCAAGTCTGAAGCCCCATCCAATTGTTTCTATTATTTGGGGGTCCTGTGTGGTCAGAGTGGGAGCCTTCTTCCCCCCAACACAGAGGGCTGCTAAGGTGCCCTCATTTATTTGTTCTCTTTTAGGTATTGTAATTTTTCCCAGTTTACTTGACATCAGTTTGTAGAACAATGGATTATTTTATTTAGCTTAAGAGACAAGCATGGGGACTTGTGAAGTGTGTGAAGGAGTCAAATGGTACAAAGTTCTGGTTATAAATTAAAGAACCAGTACTGGGGGTGTAATGTACAGCATGATGACTACAGTTAGTAATACTGTATTGCATATTTGAAAGTTGCTGAGAGTAGATCTTAAAAATCCTCATTATAATAAAAAAAAATTTTTTTTAACTATGGTGAACAGATATTAACTAGACTTACTGTGGTGATCATTCCACAATAAACACAAATATTAAGGTTTTATGTTGTTCATTTGAAACTAATATAACGTTATATGTCAATTATATCTCAAGAAGAGAAACAAGCAGCTTCAAAGGTTCTTACAAAGAAACTACAATTATGAGAAATACTAATGATGCAAACACACATAAACAAGAAAATGGCACAACTGAAGTTTCTACAAGGTTTTACTCAGCTAGATGAGGTAAAAACCAATGTTGAATAACACATGATCTCACTCATTTATGGAAAATAAAGAACACGTCCTGGCTGGTTTGACTCAGTGGATGGAGCATCGGCTTTCAGACCGAAGGGTCCCGGGTTCGATTCCAGTTGGGGGCGCATGCCCAGGTGTGGGCCTGATCCCCAATGGGGGGAATGCAGGAGGCAGCCAATCAATTGATGGTTCTTTCTCTCTCCCTTTCCTTTCTCTCTCAAATCAATAAAAGTATTTAAAAAAAAGAGAAAAGAAAATAAAGAACACTATAACCTGATGAACAAAAGGATAGATACAGAGGAAGTAAAGCAGCGAACAGAAGGTGAATTATAGCGGGGAAGGCTGGGGAGTGCTGGGGAGGGGGAAAGAGGTCAACCAAAGGACTTGTATGCATGCATATAAGCACAACCAATAGACACGAGACACTGAGGGGGGAGGGATGAGGGCATGCAATGGGTTAGGGGAGGCTGGGGGAAGGTCAATGGGGAAGAAAGGAGATATATGTACTACTATGTATTAATACTTTAAAAAATAAAAAGTAGTAAAAGCAAAAAACAAAAACAAAAAACCCAAAAAACCAATGTCAATCTAAATCAAAGAGTTAACCAATCAGTGAGAAAACAGCTGCTTTAAAAAAAAAAGGTGTAAGGAAAGAACTACTATAAGGATAGTTGTCATGTAATTTTAACAGCCAAAAATGACTAATTATCCTTATTACCTAGTCATTTAAAAACTTGGAAATATTTTCTAATCTATTTAAAAATCTCCCAAATGAGGAATTTTAGTGGGTCTTAAGCCTGTTGGTTAAAAAAATAAAAACCTTTTGATTAGTTTGTAAAAACAGGTGATTTAAGGTCATGGAAAATTAATGGAAAAGTACTAGCTGAATTTCAACAACAAAAATTTAGCGTGGTTGGTGGGTATATTACTAAACAGTCAGTTGACAATGTGTTTCTTCCATCTGAATTGACAAATCTTTGTGAAGTATCTTTTTCACCTCTACAACCATCATAATTAAGCCTCAAATTCAAGTTTTAGAGACAGAGCATCCAATTGCTGTATCACAATTATTTAAGCCAAGAGTTGAAAACTAATGAAGCATTTTTAATTATATGGCTCTCCAACAGAGGCCAGGCCCTGAGCAGCCAGGCCCGGAACAGCTCGCTCCTCGCCTGCCCCTGCCCCACGGCTGCTTCTCAGACATGGCTGGAAACTTTCGTGGGAACTTGAGGGTCTGCTGAATCAAGTGATGAAGGCTTAGATCTGGATGTGTTGAGTTAGTATAGGGCTGGGGTGTTGATCTGTGAGTGCCTTGAGTGGGGCCTGGATGAGGCTGGTGGACCTATTGGGAAATGTCTTTTGTGTGAAGTGTATCATTGGGCATGTGGAGGTATTAGTGATTTGAGAAAATGCTAAGTAACTGATTTACTATCTGAAAAGGGATTTACTATTGGGGAAAGGGAGGGAAGAAGAGACTGAACATAAACTGCACCTATGGATGAGGACAATGGGGGATGGGGAGGGGTCGGAGGGTGGGGTGGGAACCTGGTGGAGGGGGGAAGAAATGAGGAACCTTTGTAATAATATGAACAATAAAGATTGATTTAAAAAAAATAAAAAATAAAAATAATTATATGGCTCTCATTACAAAATTATTAGTAATTTTGGTAGCAAAGGTACATCTAAAGCCCAAAAGTTATTTTTAAAGAGCGCTATTTAATATATTTTTAATTATGCAAAATATTGGTATAATAGTACATTTATATAATTTTTAGTTTTTAATGGGTAGAAATGTGTGATCATAAAAGTTTGGAGATGAACGCTTTAATCACAAAGAACATGATTTTAATCTAAGGTCACACATTAATGTTTCTATCTCATTTTTTTGTCCTTATTGAAAAACAGAAATCCTTATTAAACAAGCAGTCTGTAATAACAGTAAAGAATATTACAAGAAAAAGAAGAAAAAGAATATTACATTAAAAAAGGCTTTCTAGCCGAAACAGGTTTGGCTCAGTGGTAGAGCATCGGTCTGTAGGCTCTCTCTCCCTTCCTGTCTGTAAAAAAATCAATAAAATATATTAAAAAAAAAAAAAAAAAAAAAAAAAAAGGCTTTCTAGCCCGAAACCTGTTTGGCTCAGTGGATACAGTGTCAGCCTGCTGACTGAAAGGTCCCAGGTTCTGTTCCAGTCAAGGACATGTGCCTTGGTTGCGGGCACATCCCCAAATGTAAGAGGCAGCTGGTCAATGATTCTCTCTCATCGATGTTTCTAGCTCTTTATCCCTCTCTGTAAAAAATCAATAAAATATATATATATTTTTAAAAAGGCTTTCTATTTAAAGGAAGTGGAGGAACTAAGTCATTTCTCCAATGACTTTAAACTAGTAAAAAGTCCTATTGTAAACTTTCCATTCTTATAGCCCTTTCCTTTAATACCTTCAGACCTGTTCTGTACCTTACCCTCCTTGCTGTGGTAAATATTTTTTTCAACTTCAGAGCAGTTTTCCCAATAAAGTCCTTAAAGCTACAATTACTCAGTTTCCAAAACATTCCTGCCTATCCTCAATATTCAGGTGTTCTGTTAGACTGAGGAGAATGAGAAGCACTGTTCCTCTTTTTACACAAACAATTATAGTACAAAGTAGGATGTTCCAACTGTTCTAAAGAGGTTTCAGCAGGCGTGCAATTGAGCCCTGAGAAGAAACTTAACTGATGCATTAACAAGGCAGCTTCCAGGAAGAGGCCCACCGCCCGGGAACTGGAGGCATCAGAATGGCCAAGACCCCTAAAGACTGCTATAGGAAAAGGCAGAGAGTAAGTAGTTCAAGAGATCATCTCTTTAGCTAGCTTAACTCAACTGGAGGATAAATCATTCCTGTAAGCCTTAGTTCCTTTCTTTTTATTCTGAAAATTCAAAAGAATGAATTATCTTCTTGCTATATCTCTTACAATTATTTTTCACATACTGATTCAAGCTCTGCATCTTCTCCCTACTCTAGTGCCTTAGCCCATGCGGTTTCTCTAGCTTCGATTTCTCCCCGTTCCAATTTGAGCACCAACACAGTACTGCCGGAGTAAGCTTCTGATCATTACCTCCTTCCTCTAAATTAGTCAGTTTAGCATTCAAACAATACGCCACAGTATACTTTTCTATTCTTGCCTTACTACTTTTCTTAGAGTGATCCCCTATATTTCGGCCTCTCTGGCCCATTAATGTCACCTAAGCATAAGGAGTGATTTTTAATTTCCTACCCTATCAACTTTATAGGTCAAATTTTTATGCACCTTGGAAGATGTATAATGTCTCCTGACATTCCAAATTAAATATCTTCCTCCTTTGGACATCCTTAGTACTTTCTTTGTTCCTATTCAAGGCAATTATTTTCTCCTTGTATTATCATTTGGGTTGCAGTTCCTATCTCCACTTCCCAACTAAAATTTAAGCTCCTCAGGAGAGGGAGTCTTCTTCTATGTACTCATCTCCTTGAGCACCTGGCAGAGTTGAATTCTGTTAAGATGAACAGAAGAAATAAGAACTACTCAAGCTATTACAGCTCCTCTGCCATCTTCATACTGTCTTTAGTGGCTATTAGTGATCATATATTCTACTAATATCTCAA